CTGAGAGAGAGATGTACATAATTAACTGCAAATTATGCAAATGAGGACTTAATTTGCATAATTAATGAGGAAATTCTATAATTACAGTGTTTTGCATTATAGTACTTTCATACATGTAATGTACTAGTATGTAATCTATGGCAGATGGAACATCACCAGATACCAATTATGCAAATGATGACCTAATTTGCATAATTAATGCGAAAATTCTATGACTCCTCAGTGGTAAATGATGGGAATTTCATACTTGGTACATGTGTGAGTTAATGAAAAGTTAACATCACGATGCATTTATTATGTTAATGTGGGGGTAATTTGCATAATTAAAGAAGAAATTAACATTTACATGTCAAGCCCATATTTCATGGAGGTATGAGATCTCGGAACTCTTGTTATGTCATGTTCACACAAGCATATTTGAAACATGAAATCTCCTTCTTTTATGCTTGTAAGACGCTTGTGTCTTAATAAGATGTGGAAATTCTAGAAGGTTCCTTAAAACTTCAAAGAAATGGTCAGAATGTGGCTAGCTGTGTGACAACCAAGTGTCTTCTGACATTTTCCCTGTGTGACATTTCCTCGTCGCCATTTTGTTTTGACACATGAGTACAAAGCCTTTAATTGGTTGTTTGGTGAACATTATTCGTTAAGATATCTGTCAGTAAACAGGTCACAGTGTTTGGAAAATTATGAAACATTTCACCAATAGGATTTCAGTATCTCATAATTCACTCCTGTAGCTGTACTAGCTGATAGTGTGTATAATTTGGTAATTGTTTCCTCCTTGTTATGTTGACACAAGTACAATGTATATTTGAAACCATGAAATCTCTTTCAGCTTGTATGAGTGTCATGAAGTAGACATCCTAGACAGAAAGTTCCTTGGATCTTTAAGTAAGAAGGAAAGAATAATTCTAGGTGTCTAACTTTATGTTAACCTAGACACTGTCTTCAGACATGTTCCCTGTTTGACATTTCCTCATCGCCATTTTGTTATGACGCATGAACTAAACAGTTTAGATCCGACAACCTTCCAATGATTTTACTTCTTATGGCCCAAAAATACATCCTGATGAAGTAGGGGCACAGAGAAGAAGTTGATTGACTCACCTCAGTATGGAAGGAAGTTGTCTTATGTCTACAAACTTCTTAAAGTCTCAGAGTCCGTCTTAACTGCGTCTTCCACTGTGTCCTTCAACCCTGCGCTGAGGTGGTTGGACTACCTGAGGTTAATTAAGGGCGTTGGGTTCAGCCTATTGTCTTGCTGTGCCCACAGGTGATACCTGTGGTAGTTAACTCTGCCAGCCATGTGAACATAATGAGTTGTTCATGATACACTCTAAACTGCTATCAGGGCTCAAAATACTTTTTCTACTGTGCTATTCAGCTTAAACATTCAATTTATAATAATCACATGAGTTGGAATTTTGTCGGCTTGCAAAACCCCAACTAGCCCATATTTTTTTCTTGCAATCCTAAATTTTTCCGTGATAACTGCAGGTTTCAGGTGGGTATTTTGAGCCCTACACTCTGACATCAGAAACCAAAGTTATTCTTGGAACCTTGTTTTACTGAGGGAACCTAGCCTTAAGATTCAACAAGTTTGGAAAAATTCACCATCCCAATAGAATCAATATGTGTGGTTATTTTCACTGGTTCATCTTAAATGAAGTGGCCAGTACATTTGTAGCTCTGTTTTTTTTTTACAAAACTCTGGCCATCTGTAGTTCAATCAAAGAATCATATTAGTCTGTGGTTTATTATAAATTTAAGATATCTGTCAGTAAAAAGGCCGCAGTGTTTGAAAAATTAAGAAACATTTTTGAGGCAGTTAAGTATTTCAGTATCTCATGATTCACTCCTGTAGCAATAATGTGGTAATTGTTTCCTCCTTGTTATGTTGAGTATATCTAAAATTATGAAATATTTCAACTTGTAACTTGTAAGAGTGTCAAGAGTGTCAAGTGGCAGAAAGTTCATTGGATTCTTAAAAAGGAAAGGATGATTCTAGAAGGTGTCTGACTTTGTGTCAACCTAGACACTGCATTCAGACATGTTCCCTGTTTGACATTTCCTCGTCGCCATTTTGTTATGACGCATGAACTAAACATTTTAGATCTGACAATCTTTCCAATGATTTTACTTCTTATGGCCCTAAAAGTACATCCTGATGAAGTAGGGGCAGAGAGAAGAAGTTGATTGGCTCACCTCAGTATGGAAGGAAGTTGTCTTCAGTCTGCCAACTCCTTAAAATTGCAGGGAGTCTGTCTAAACTGTGTCTTTCTGTGTGTCCTTCAACACAGTGCTGTGGCGGTAGGACTCCCTGAGGTGAATTAAGTACGTTGAGTTGGACAGACACAGTGCCTATTGTGTCATACATGTCCACAGGTGATACCTGTGGTAGTTAGATGTGCCGACCGTGGGAACATAATGAATAGTTCTTGATACACTCTAAACTGCTATCAGGGCTCAACATACTTTTTCTACACTGCTATTCAGCTGACATTTAATCCATATTAATCATACCATGATTCTGATTTTTATGCACATTTTTAACATTTTAGATCTGACAATCTTTCCAATGATTTTACTTCTTATGGCCCAAAATACATCCTGATGAAGCAGGGCACAGAGAAAGAGTTGATTGACTCACACAGTATGGAAGGAAGTTGTCTTAAGCCTGCAAACTCCTTAAAGTCTCGGAGTCCATCTTAACTGTGCCTTTCAGTGTGTCCTTCAAACCTGCACTGAGGTGGTTGGACTACCTGAGATTAATTACAGATGTTGAGTTCAACCGATACCGCCCATAAAATCTTGCATGCCCACAGGTGATACAGATATGCCAGCCATGTGAACATAATGAGTTGTTCCTGATACACTCTAAACTGCTATCAGGACTCAACATATTTTTCTACACTGTTATTCGGCTAACGTAATTTATAATACATGAGTTGGAATTTTGTCATCTTGCAAAACTCCAACTACCGGTAGTCTATATTTTTTCTTGCAATCCTAAATTTTTCCCTAATAATTGCAGGTTTCAGGTGGGTATTTTGAGCCCTAGTCACTCTGACGTCAGAAAACTGGGAACCTATTCTGGAAATAACCTTTGCTTTAGTGAGAGAACCTAGCCTCATAATTTAAGAGGGTTGTCATCAAGCAATTTTTGTTTCTGCTCGTTTGTGCACAGGTTAACGAGGGCCACTGGAAGTGGGGGAAGGAGCACACGGTGGAGATCAACAGTGCGTTCCTGACAGGCGTGTACGGGATGTGGAACGTCTACGTGTTCAGTGTGATCTGTCTGTACGCACCGAGCCACAAGAGGAAAGGTCTGGAGGGGCAGCAGTCCTCCAACATACAGCTGGGTACGTGTGTGTGTCTGTCTGTCTGTCTGTCTGTCTGTCTGTGTTTGATCTGTCTGTACGCAAAGAGCCACAAGAGGAAAGGTTTTCTAACATACAACTGGGTATTTCTGTGTGTTTGTGTTTGTGTGTGTGTGTGTGTGTGTGTGTGTGTGTGTGTGTGTGTGTGCGTGTGTGTGTGCGTGTGGATAGCATTCAGCACCAAGGACAGGACTTGGTGTATTTGTGTGTGTGAGTGTATATGTGTGTGCATGTGTGTGTGTGTGTGTGTGTGTGCCTGTGTGTCTGTGTCTGTGTGTGTGTGTGTGTGTGTGTGTGTGAGAAGTAAGGTGTAAAGCACCAGCATTTTTTTTAATTGAAGGCTGTATGGGGAGGGGGTGAAGTCTGCCATCTCTGATAGTCTCATGTTTACATCATTGAGAAATTGACTTTGATTTTATGGTAACTTCCAGAGCGTGAGACTTCAGAGGACGGGAGTAACGAGGAGATCGAGTTACGCCTGACGAACAGCCAGGCCAGCGGCGATGCTGGAGAGCTGTCCGTCATCTACAAGATCGCTGGCAAGGAGGCTCAAGAGTAGCCAATCGGAGGGGGAGAGAGATAGAGGTGGCCAATCAGGGGATCCAGTCTGGGGAGACTAAATAAAGATTGGCCTTTCAGTTTAACAGAAGTCTGTTTGAAGAAAGTAAATAAAATATTAATGTGTCCTTATGGAACTAGTCAGCACCCTTAAGCTGTGGCATGCAAAGTCCAACCCAGAGGTCATAATCAGGTGTGACTTAAGCCCAGACTACCTGGAAGGAGGTACACACACCACAATTCCCCCAGACATCCTACCGACACCGCTGGTACCTGACATCACAGTCCAGGATCCTGTCAAACGAACGCTGACCCTGATTGAACTTACCGTCCCGTGTGAACAGAATGCACAGGACGCCAAGGATAGAAAATCGGCGAAGTACGAAAGTCTGGTTAATGACATTAACTTTCATAGTGGATACAGGGCTACTCTTGTTACAGTTGAAGTAGGAAGCAGAGGGTGGATTAACGGCGAGAACATTGCAAAGCTGAAGTCACTCTGTCCGGTTAGTCACAAAGACCGTGAAGCCAGACATCTTAAAAGTAGACTTGGAAAGTGCGCACTTTGTGCATCTTATGCAATCCATTGTGCCAGAAACACGCCTGCTTGGGAATGCACTTCAGGATTGTTCTATTGTAAGAATTAGATGTAAAATTTAGCTGCTGCCTTTTTAAGAACTCTAAATTGTAATTGTTACATAATGTACCCGTAATTATAATTATATATGGCAATTTTTAATAGAGAACGTCTGTCTGTCCGATGCACACAGTGACTAGTATATTGTATTTTTGTCTGTCCACCTTGCGTCCTCCTCTTGTTACCTAAACATGAGACAAAGGATTGTCCTAGGTTTTTAGCTATGTATTTAATATGTCATTCATCTTGTATAGAATAAAGATGATTTTAACCCCCCAAAATGAAACCATCCTAGGATCCAGATATTCAATACTAACAAGTTTGTAGGTATTTCTCCAAAATCATGTTGATACAAATTGTACAAAATGCCACAAAAATCATTGTAGTCCTTGACCCATAACTGTGTTTATGCCATACGAAATGTTGCCATAGTTTAGACGGGAACTTTCCCAAGTTGAAAACTATAGATTTATGTTTATAGTAATTAGAAGGAACTTGGTGCCAGAGGGACCATATGAGTAGGTTGCTAGTATGTTACATTATAACTATATTTTAGGTGGCCATATCATACATTAAAGTAAGATTTATGGTGTATATAGTTCATTTGTTGCAATGTGAGAAACTAGATTTCATTTTACACACTTAGAAAGTGGTTTAACGACTTTGCATTGAGGGGAGGGCGGGGTGGGGAACAATAGTATAGAAAAGTTGGAAATGTAATGTGTATTTTTGGATGAGTCGGGCTGTAACTATCCTTAGATATGAAAAATTAACTTCTCAATTATACATTGTAACATCCCAACTGTCAGTAAAACCAAGGACCTTTCATCAATGTTACAATCTACCACCCCATATCTGCTTGGAGAGTTAGGGCTCACTGACAGTTGAGATGTTACAATCTACCCACCCCGTATCTGCTTGGAGATTAGGGCTTACTGACAGTTGAGATGTTACAATCTACCACCCCATATCTGCTTGGAGATTTGGTTTTACCAAGGAGCTTTCATTCATAAGCAGATATGGGGTGGTAGATTGTAACATCCCAAATGCCAGTAAGACCAAATCTCCAAGCAGATATGGGGTGGTAGATTGTAACATCCCAACTGTCAGTAAGACCTAATCTCCAAGCAGATATGAGATGGTAGATTGTAACATCCCAACTGTCAGTAAGGCCTAATCTCCGTGCAGATATGGGGTGGTAGATTGTAACATCCCAACTGCAAGTAAGACCTAATCTCCAAGCAGATATGGGGTGGTAGATTGTAACATCCCAACTGCCACTAAGCCCTAATCTCCATGCAGATATGGGGTGGTAGATTGTAACATCCCAAATGCAAGTAAGACCAAATCTCCAAGCAGATATGGGGTGGTAAATGGTAACATCCCAAATGCAAGTAAGACCAAATCTCCAAGCAGATATGGGATGGTAGATTGTAACATCCCAACTGCCAGTAAGACCAAATCTCCAAGCAGATATGGGGTGGTAAATGGTAACATCCCAAATGCAAGTAAGACCAAATCTCCAAGCAGATATGGGATGGTAGATTGTAACATCCCAACTGCCAGTAAGCCCAAATCTCCAAGCAGATATGGGGTGGTAGATTGTAACATCCCAACTGCCAGTAAGACCTTATCTCCAAGCAGATATGGGGTGGTAGATTGTAGCATCCCAACTGTCTGTAAGCCCTAATCTCCAAGCAGATACGGGGTGGTAGATTGTAACACACCAACTGTCAGTAAGCCCTTATCTCCAAGCAGATATGGGGTGGCAGATTGTAACACACCAACTGTCAGTAAGGCCTAATCTCCAAGCAGATATGGGGTGGTAGATAGTAACACACTGTCAGTAAGGCCTAATCTCCAAGCAGATATGGGGAGGTAGATTGTAACACACTGTCAGTAAGGCCTAATCTCCAAGCAGATATGGGGAGGTAGATTGTAACACACTGTCAGTAAGACCTAATCTCCAAGCAGATATGGGGTGGTAGCTTGTAACACCCCAACCGTCAGTGAGACCTAATCTCCAAGCAGATATGGGGTGGTAGATTGTAACACACTATCAGTAAGGCCTAATCTCCAAGCAGATATGGGGTGGTAGATTGTAACACATTGTCAGTAAGGCCTAATCTCCAAGCAGATATGGGGTGGTAGATTGTAACACACCAACTGTCAGTAAGACATAATCTCCTTGCTACTGAATAGGAAGTATTTGTCTAAATACTCTGGAAACTGTGAAAGGTCATGTAAATATCACTACTTTGGTTCAAAATTATTCAATGTATATGTTTATAGTTTGATTGTGATATCAAATCAATGCAATGTTGTCGCCATGTACTGAGATCAAGATATTGAAAGCTTAAGACTTGTGTATAGTTTTCATGTCGACAATGTAAGTCGTAAGTTGAGCAATTGATAAATTGCATTGTATATATTGATATTGACATTTTGTACACTTAATTACGAGAAGTAAACATATCTATTTTCTCAAGGTTGAGCAGAATGATTGCACAGTGTCCAATAAAAAAATATTGTAACAATTCGTCTGAGACATGTATTTTTTGTGACTTGTATTATCAAACAATGTAGAAATATCCATGACGCATGGCTCAAAAGCGCCACCTAATGGCCAAAAATATTATTGCAAAAGAAACAGGTTCATCACTGACTCATTTAACATAGCAGTAGCGATAATTAAACGTTTAAGACGGCTTATCAGTCCGGCGAACATAACATGTATTATTTGGGTAATCAGGATTAAAAAGCCATTGTCACGGCCAACGCTCACACGGTCTTAATTTAGCGCCGCCCAGTGACGTGTTTCGGTACTGCAGCCGCTGTAATCTGCCATCACAAGCAGTATGTACTTGACCGTCCGGCGAACGTAACGTGTACTATTTGGATAATCAGGAGATTAAAAAAAGACCACCCAATTTTAACATTGTTACCACCACAGCAGTCAGGAAACTACGTGGCAACCACATTCGTGACGCCGACTGGTGGTAAACAGGTGTTTTTTCGGTCGTCTTTTTTTATCTCCTGATTACCCAACTAGTACAAGTTATGTCCGTCTAACGGTTAGTGCAGCTAAACCCCACCGTCACTATTGGGCTGCATCTGACCGTGACACGGTCTTAATTTAGCGCCGCACAGTGGCGGTTGACGGTACTGCACCAACTGTGAGTAAGGCCTAATCTCCAAGCAGATATGGGGTGGTAGATTGTAACACTGTCAGTAAGCCCTAATCTCCAAGCAGATATGGGGTGGTAGATTGTAACACACTGTCGGTAAGACCTAATCTCCAAGCAGATATGGGGTGGTAGATTGTAACACACTGTCAGTAAGACCTAATCTCCAAGCAGATATGGGGTGGTAGATTGTAACACACTGTCAGTAAGACCTAATCTCCAAGCAGATATGGGGTGGTAGATTGTAACACACTGTCAGTAAGGCCTAATCTCCAAGCAGATATGGGGTGGTAGATTGTAACACCCCAACTGTCAGTAAGGCCTAATCTTCAAGCAGATATGGGGTGGTAGATTGGAACACACTGTCAGTAAGGCCTAATCTCCAAGCAGATATGGGGTGGTAGATTGTAACACACTGTCAGTAAGGCCTAATCTCCAAGCAGATATGGGGTGGTAGATTGTAACACACTGTCAGTAAGACATAATCTCCTTGCTACTGAATAGGAAGTATTGTCTAAACACTCTGGAAACTGTGATGTTTTACCCTTAAAGATAATGTAAATATCACTTCTTTGGTGCAAGATTATTCAATGTATATGTGTACTTTATAGTCTTATTGTGATATTAGATCAATGCGATGTTGTCGCCAAGTACTGAGATCAAGATACTGAAAGCTTAAGACTTGTGTATAGTTTCAATGTCAACAATGTAAGTCGTAAGTTGAGCAATTGATAAATTGCATTGTATATATTGATATGGACATTTTGTACACCTAATTACGAGAAGTAAACATATATATTTTCTCAAGGTTGAGCAGAATTATTGCACAGTGTCCAATAAAAAAGATATTGTAACAATTCGTCTGAGACATATATTTTTTGTGACTTGTATTATCAAACAATGTAGAAATGTCCATGACACTTGGCTCAAAAGCGCCACCTAATGGCCAAAAATATCATTGCAGAAACGCAGGTTCATCACTGACTCATTTAACATAGCAGTAGCGATAATTAAACGTTTAAACAGGCTCATCAGTCCGGCAAACATTACATGTATTATTTGGGTAATCAGGATTAAAAAGCCATTGTCACGGCCAACGCTCACACGGTCTTAATTTAGCGCCGCCCAGTGACGTGTTTCGGTACTGCAGCCGCTGAAATCTGCCATCACAAGCAGTATGTACTTGACCGTCCGGCTAACGTAACGTGTACTATTTGGATAATCAGGAGATAAAAAA